GTGGAGACATTTGGGATAAAGGTGTCAGAGTGTGCTTGTCGACCCCTATGACCAAGGCCACATTCTGAGGCAATTTGTCAGTGATAAATGTGAACATTTTTTTCTTGGTATTTAATTGGTGTGTCACGTTTTTTTAAAAACAATATATGACTTGTTGGTATTTTGATATATCCAGACCAAACTCAGTATGGGTTAATGAAATTCCAGTGACAGTGGACACTGTATTGAAAAGTAACCAAAGGGTGTTTAGTTTTACAAATGTTTTAAATAGAAGCAGAGCACTGAATAATATTTATATTAACTGGTGAATTGTTGATCTGATGATTAAGAAATCTACTTTTATACAGATTTTCAGGCTCCATAATGGTCAATTACTTGAATGAATTAGGTTAGTTTCCATTTAATACTATTAGGTTAGTACTCTTTTAGTCAACACAAGTAAAGAATTTGAGAAATCAGCATACATGAAAAACTTTAAAATACTTTGCTCTAAATAATGGCTAAAGTCAGTGCCTGGACCTTTATATTTGCCAAGTGTGAGAAGTAATACTAAAATATAGCAAACTATGAATGGGTAATAAATATAGGTTTTTTTTTAGGTATTTTAAGGAATGGTAAAAAGCACTAGTTTAATTTTTATTTGTACTTTGTAAATGTTACTAAACATTTTTTCCTCATGTACATATTTTTGATTTTAGTAACATTTGGAACCACCTATGTTTTTAACTTTTTTCTTAAAAATTTTTTTCAAGGCCTTTGTAGTGGTTTGCACAAAGGAGCACAATTAATATTGTTGAGTAACTGAAATCAATATAATAATAAAATAAAAATAAATTATAATAAATTAATAAATTATAGTAAATTAAAATAAATTATATAAAACAATGAATGTCTATTATTTTATCATAAAATGAAAACATGCTTTGTTTATTTGTTATTTATTTCATTTTCACTGCAATTTCACTTATTTGACCTTTTCACTTATCCCTTATTAGAATTCTTTTCAGCATCTAGAGACCTCACTATCATGTCTTTGTGTGAAGACATGCTGCTTTGCAATTATCGAAAATGTCGCATCAGACTCTCTGGTTATGCATGGGTCACTGCCTGCTCTCACATTTTCTGTGATCAGCATGGCAGCGGTGAGTTTAGTCGTTCACCAGCTATCTGCCCTGCCTGCAACAGTACTCTTTCTGGAAAGCTAGATATTGTTCGAACAGAACTCAGTCCATCAGAGGAATATAAAGCCATGGTACTGGCAGGACTTCGACCAGAGATTGTGTTGGACATTAGCTCCCGAGCACTGGCCTTCTGGACATACCAGGTTAGTGCTTAGGCTAGCTTAGGAGAGTCTGATTTGAAGTATATGTGAAAGTTTCTGATGTTTTTCATTTATTGTGTTTATGTTTATTTTTTATGAATATATGGAACTTTTTAATAATTTTCTTCAAAAGTAATGTTTATTGTTGAAAATCTAAAAGGAAGGAAATTAAAAAACTCATAATTCTGTCATTCAGGGATAACCATTGTTGATATTTTGTGTACTACTAGACTATTTCTGTGCATAAATATGTATTTTCTATATATAAGTATATATTTTTGTCTTTACGAAAATAGGATA